ACATGACAACACAAGCTACTTTATACATGACAACACAAGCTACTTTACTTTCACCGTTTCAGAGCCCGATGGGCCATGTGACTTTATCCTGACCAGTTTTACTCACTACTGATCTGATTCTGCCCCTCCACTTGACAGTTAAGGAGACTGAGGCTTAGGAGGCTAAGCAGGTCTGTCATTTGTCACCCCGCTGTCAGTCAGTAGCAGAAGGGAGTCAGCAGGCTCCCATGGGTCCTGAGTCCAGACCTCACAAGGCCTTTGGGGGCTGTGGGAGCTCTGGCACATTCATAGGCACAGCCAACAGTGTCAGACAGATGTAAAGGCTTGCACATCTTTGTCCTGAACCGCCAGTCCAGACAGGATGGTCAATCCAGGGTAATCCTGGGCTCTCCTGGCGGAGTGCATTCTATTTAAATTGCTTAATCCTGGCACTTGGGGGACTGACTGAGGCAGGACAATATTGAGTTTGAAACCATTCTGGGTTACACAGGGAAGCCATGTCCGAAAATATAAAGAATTAAAATATTTGGAAATGTTTACTTGCAAGGGTAAGGGGGTCTAGCTCAGTGGAATAATGGGCCCTGTGCACATGCAAGGCCCTGCATATGATCTCCCACATTAGTAAAGAAAGAAGGCATATGCTCTGAAAATCACTGTCCTGGGACATAGCTGGAAGGTGTGTAGCATGTGTAAGGTCTTGGGTTTTATTCCCAGCATGGTTGGAGGAGGGAGGCTTAAGAAAAAAGAGAAGAGAACTATTCATATACTGATATACAGAGCTCTCCAATGTAAACTGTTAAATGAAATAAGCAAGACAGAGAAAAGGTCTTTGAAAGGCTGGGAGTGGAGCTCCGTGGTTGTCCGGCAGGCTGAAGGTCCTGGTTTCCATTCACAGTAGAAGGGGAGAGAAGGGAGGTGAAGGCCGGGGGTGGGGGGTGGGGGTGAGGGGTGGGGGTGGGAATCTACAGTTTGTGGGTGTGGGAGTCAAGAACAAAGAGTGTGCAGGGAAATCAGCTTTGCTGGACAGATTCTTCTCTGGAAGAAGGGGGCATAGGTAGGGGCACCAGTTGCTCTGGAGAGTCAAGGAACCCTGTGGGAGAGGATTTCTCAGTCAGTCTCCTGGGGTAGGCTTTGACCTTTGAACCCTGCTAAACACGATTAAATAAACAAACAAAAGAAAAAACTTCCATGTTTGGTGCCTTCTCTTTCGGAGCAATGGGTGTAACTTTCACCAATCCTATCACACACCAGTGAGCAAACAGGTCTGTTGGACACAAACCACCTTCCCAACACCCCTACAAAAGAAAGAGACAAGTGACTGTGTCCCCATTTTGCAGATGGGGAGCTGTGGCCCAATCCAAACTATGGACAACAGAGAGAATGAATGTGGGTTAAGAAGCCTCATCCCGTTCAGTATTGGTTTTCCTGTCCCCCTCCATCTGCAGATAAGATCCTGGTTCACTGTGCCATGGGCCGAAGCCGGTCAGCAACCCTGGTCCTGGCCTACCTGATGATCCACAAGAACATGACCTTGGTGGATGCCATCCAACAAGTGGCTAAGAACCGCTGTGTTCTGCCCAACCGGGGCTTCCTGAAGCAGCTCCGGGAGCTGGACAAGCAGCTGGTGAAGCAGCGGCGACAGGCCGGGCCAGGGGACAGTGAGCTGGGGCGGTAGGGGGGCCCTCCAAGGGAGGAGCAGAGACCCTGGCACCCAGAGCAGAAGGCTGATGGATGTCTTCATGGAAGCTTTGCTGGTCGCGGAGATGGGACAGTGAGACTAAAGGCTGGACACAGGGAAGACGAGCAGCTGTCACCTCCAAGTTCAGTTCTCCTCCTCAGGAAAGGCCAGGACGACTGCAGGGGGAACTGGCTTCGGATGAGGACCACTCTGTGGTCTCCTGTCCTTTAAGTTCGATGTGGAGAGGGAATTTTTTTGTTTTGTTTTTAATGTGTGAGCACTGTGTTGTGATTAAACATTTGACTCTAAAAGAAAAAAATCACATTCTTATAAAAATATAACTTAAAATAGAACTTGATTTTTTTAACCACAGAAAATTGCCTGGCAAGCCATGTTACAAGACAGGCTTCATCACTTAGGAGGAAGCCTCGGAGCAACCATGTTTCTTTATCCATGGTGGCCTGTGTGCGTGTGTGTGCGTGCATGTGCGTGTCTGTGCGTGTGTGTGTGTGTGTATAGGGTGGCATGGAGTCCCTTCCTTACATCACAGTCAGAGCTGTCACCACACACAGCTGTGATAAATCTGGACAAGGATAGTGTAACTTCACAATTTGGGAGAAAAAGAGAGGCAGGAGACACTTAACTTTAGGGGACCAGAATGCCTCTTTCCCTTTCGCCAGTAAGAACAGAATGGTGGTTCCTTTTACTCACACCCTGAAGTACCAGCAGGGCAGGGCAGCTGGGTGAGCTCAGGTGTGAGCTGCCCTCTCTTGAGAGTTAAGTAAGCACCATGATGGTCATTGTCCACTCAAGAAAAGAGCAGCACAACACAGAGTGGTGGCTTCCAGAACCAGGAACCCTGAGAAGATGGAGCCTAGAGAGAGGCTCCCGAGAGGTGAGAGCAGCAGAGGAGTACCACCGATGATGGCATCCTAGAGAGGTGAGAGCAGCGGA